AAAAAAAAAAAAAAAATCTGAAGCCATCCTCTTCCCCCCCCCTGTACTGCGCTGCACCTTGGGCAGCGGAGCAGAATCCAGAATCTCAACTTCTCCCGACATATGTTTCCAGCAGATAAGTAAACAATCTGGACGTGAAATGAAAATTTTAATTAATGCAGTAATGCTATTACACCTCAAGTGTGCAAATCCCATTGCCTTGCACTGTGACAATGGGTGGGGAGGGGGAAAGAAAGCAGACAGACAACAAACCACAAGCAAATTCTAATCTGGGTTTTGCTTTTCACCCGGCTCCAATTGTTTTCATAGTTTGTTTCCTTTGAATTAATCTCATCCTTATATTTCAATAATTACCAGCTACTCATCTCTTCCCCTCTTTCTCTCACACACTCAAAGAGCCGGCTCCTTCTCCCTCGTTCTCCTTTTTTTTTTTTTAAATTGGGATCAACCTGTGTTTTAATTTCTGGGCTTTTACGCGTTTTACACACGTTGCAGTGGGGACCCTGCGCGTTATTTCTTGTTTAGCTTTCCCAAAGCGGCGCGTTCAGTAATAATGATCAACCTGTGTTTTAATTTCTGGGCTTTTACGCGTTTTACACACGTTGCAGTGGGGACCCTGCGCGTTATTTCTTGTTTAGCTTTCCCCAACGCGGCGCGTTCAGTAATAATGAAGTATTTTGCCCTAATGAAAAAAGGGAAGGAAAAAAAAAATATATAATAATAATAATAATAATAAAGGCTGAGTTGTCCCTTTGATGTCGGTATAAAACACCCCGACTGGAACAGAGGCGTGTGAAGGGAGAAAAAGCGAGACGGGGGAAGCAAAAATTAAGGACTGGAGGAAAATAAATAATAAATAAATAAATAAATAAATGAAATAAAAAGGGTAAATTACAGACACATCAAAAGCCCCGGCAGTGGCAGAGGTTTGCCTGGCTCCGGAGTGAAGAGCAGCGCGGAAAAATACAACCCGCGTTCCCCCCCGCGGTGCCCTCCCCGGCCCGCAGCCTCCGCGGGGGCGGGGGGAGAGAGCGCAGCGGCTGTTTTGGGTGGATTTAGCCCAATATTTTAATTTTTAAGCATTTTTTATGATTATATATATATATTTTTTTTTTTTTTTTTAAGGGAGGCAGTGAGCACCCTGCGGCCGGGGGGACCCTCCTGCCCGCGGGACCTGCTCTCACCTGCCCGCCCCCCCGCACCGCCGGCCCGCGGAAGCCGGAGCAGCCGCGGAACGCGGAGCCGGCGCGGTCGGAGCCCCACGCGTGTCCTCCGTGGGTCCCCGGCCCGGTCCGGCCGGTCGGGGCTGCTGAGAGCGGTCCCTTTGATGTCGGTATAAAACACCCCGACTGGAACAGAGGCGTGTGAAGGGAGAAAAAGCGAGACGGGGGAAGCAAAAATTAAGGACTGGAGGAAAATAAATAATAAATAAATAAATAAATAAATGAAATAAAAAGGGTAAATTACAGACACATCAAAAGCCCCGGCAGTGGCAGAGGTTTGCCTGGCTCCGGAGTGAAGAGCAGCGCGGAAAAATACAACCCGCGTTCCCCCCCGCGGTGCCCTCCCCGGCCCGCAGCCTCCGCGGGGGCGGGGGGAGAGAGCGCAGCGGCTGTTTTGGGTGGATTTAGCCCAATATTTTAATTTTTAAGCATTTTTTATGATTATATATATATATATTTTTTTTTTTTTTTAAGGGAGGCAGTGAGCACCCTGCGGCCGGGGGGACCCTCCTGCCCGCGGGACCTGCTCTCACCTGCCCGCCCCCCCGCACCGCCGGCCCGCGGAAGCCGGAGCAGCCGCGGAACGCGGAGCCGGCGCGGTCGGAGCCCCACGCGTGTCCTCCGTGGGTCCCCGGCCCGGTCCGGCCGGTCGGGGCTGCTGAGAGCGGAGAAGGAGAAGGAGAAGGAGGAGGAGGAGGAGGAGGATGTGTTTCTGATCACCGCTTACTTTAAACACTACAATCAAGGAATGTAGCCAGGAGGTCGGGCCTGGAATAAAACCGTAAAATCAGAATTGCAATCTTTTTGATGTTTCAAAGTCTCTTTGAATGCCTTTGATACACTCAATAGCAAATTTACTGGGCTATTATCACTAATAAGCAGAAATAAGTAATATCTCTCAGAGACTTCTATGGGCTTAATGTGTCCTTTAAAATAAAGTTTTTGAACATCACATAATTCCCCTTCTGTCTTTGTCTCTCCTGCAGCAGAGCTCCCCGGCGACCGCACGGCTACACCTGGGCGCCAGCGAGGGCTCTCCCAGTTCCTTCTGCCCCCCGACTTCTTCCCTCTTTTTTTTCTCTTACTTGTGGATTTGTTTAAAGAAAGGCCGGGCTGGATGCTTTAAAGTCTCTAGGTGGTCCTGCGGGCAGCACCGACCCGAAACAGAGCCATTTCCCGGGAGAAGGTGGGGAGAGAGGAGAAGAGGAAAAGAAGAAGGAAAAGAAGAAGGAAAAAGAAGGGAAGGAAGGGAAGGGAAGGGAAGGGAAAGAGGAAATTTTATCTTCAGTGAAGGTATATTAAGGAAGTAGTCTCTTCAAATAAGACCTGAGAGACCTTAGCATAATATGAAGGACATGCCCTGCTGTGTGTGGTCCCTCACTCTCCTTTGCTGCCTGTTTAGCATTACGTTCATTTTCAGAGAAGCCATATGGCAGCAGTCACATATTCTCCTTCAGTAGCAAATGCTGCTTGTTCTTTGGTCCTTGAGGCATATAGTTTGGATTTGTTCACCACATATGACTGAAATCACCTAAATGTCATCTTCTGCTTCAGTATAAAGTGGGCTGGAAAGACAGCCTTCAAGTACATCAGTGTCAGTACACAGGCAAAGGGGAAAGAACATAAGGTTTCCATACAAGACTCTCATACCATTCCTTGTAGTTCAGCTTTGTGATATGTTTGGAAGTGAGTTGGAAAAAAGAAAAAGAAAAAAAAAAAGAAAAAAGAAGAGGGAAAAGGGAACGCGGAGCTGCGCGGGGGAGCGGGCCGGCGGCCGTGAGCGGCTCCGACCCGGCTCCGCGCTGCGCCGGTCCCCGCTCGGCTCCGTCGGGCTCCGCGCTGCGCTGCGCGGGGCTGCGCGGGTGCGGGAGAGGCTCCGCGGAGCAGCCCAGCCCGGGACAGCGCCCGGCCGCGCACCCAAGGCGTGGTGCGCATAACCCCGCGGCCTTTGTTTAATGATTTTATTGAAAGAAGGAGACAGTTGTGGGGAAACAGGTTTGACGAGGAGCTGCATTTCCCCCTGGAGGGAATAGCTTCACACGCTCCCCCCCTCTCCCTCTCCCCCTTTCTTTCTGTTTTTGGTTTCCCTTTGACATCAAAGTCAGCAATCGGTTCATTGCAGTGTCAAGATCATTATTTAATTTATTTATCTCCACGAGGTGAATAGCTACACACCTGCAGCCGGGCGAGAGAGTTGGAGGGAGGATGATGCGGCGGGGGAACGGGGAGGAAGGAGTGGAGGCTGCGGAGGGGCCGGTGGGCAGGAGGGGGAAGGAGAGAGATGGGGAGAAAGAGAAGGAGAAGCAGGAACAGGGGAGCGAGGAAAGAGAAAGGGAGAAAGAGAGAAGGGGAAAGAGAAGGAGAAGGAGAAGGAGAAGGAGAAGGAGAAGGAGAAGGAGAAGGAGAAGGAGAAGGAGAAGGAGAAGGAGAAGGAGAAGGAGAAGGAGAAGGAGAAGGAGAAGGAGAAGGAGAAGGAGAAGGAGAAGGAGAAGGAGAAGGAGAAGGAGAAGGAGAAGGAGAAGGAGAGAAAGAAACAGAGAGGAGGGAGAAAATGAGAGGGGGGAAAGAGATGGAGAAAGGAAGAGAGAGAAAAAAATAAATAGATGAAGGGAGGAAGGAAGGGAGGAAAGAAGGAAGGAAAGAAGGGAAGAAGAAAGAAGGGAAGAAGGAAGGAAGGAAGAGAGAGAGAGAGAAAAAAGGGAAAAGAAAGAAAGAGAGAAAGAAAGAAAGAGAAAGAGAGAGAGAAAGAGAGAAGAAAGAGAGAAGAAAGAGAGAGAGAGAGAGAGAGAGAGAGAGAAAGAGAGAAAGAGAGAAAGAGAGAAAGAGAGAAAGAGAGAAAGAGAGAAAGAGAGAAAGAGAGAAAGAGAGAAAGAGAGAAAGAGAGAAAGAGAGAAAGAGAGAAAGAGAGAAAGAGAGAAAGAGAGAAAGAGAGAAAGAGAGAAAGAGAGAAAGAGAGAAAGAGAGAAAGAGAGAAAGAGAGAAAGAGAGAAAGAGAGAAAGAGAGAAAGAAAGAAAGAAAGAAAGAAAGAAAGAAAGAAAGAAAGAAAGAAAGAAAGAAAGAAAGAAAGAAAGAAAGAAAGAAAGAAAGAAAGAGAGAAAGAAAGAGAAAGAGAGAGAGAAAGAAAGAAAGAAGGAAAGAAGGAAAGAGGAAAGAAAGAGAGAAAGAAAGAGAGAAAGAAAAGAAAGAAAGAAAGAAAAGAAAGAAAGAAAAGGAGGAAAGTAGGAAGGAAAGATCCTCTCTAAAGTTTCCAGCCCTGCCGCTTCGCCCACCTCACCCCGACTTTTCCCCGAGCCCCCCGGCCCCCACCGAGCCCCTCACTCCCCACAACCGCCGGGGAGCAGAGCCCCGACGTGCGCGCCCCCCACCCTGTCCCGGCTGTCCCGGGGGGTGCGGAGGGTCCCAGCAAATCTCAGCGGCGGTGGGGAGCAGGGGAGGGACGGAGAGGGACGGGGCGGGGGACAGGGACACCCTGCCTCCTTCTCCCCCCCCACATCCCACCTCCTCCTCCGCGTTGTCAGACTGCTCCGGGTGGATGTTAGGGGACACTGAGCTATCGGTGTTGTCACCCAGCCTGACAGCCACTGTCAGCTGGGGTTAAATCAGTGCTCGGCACTGCCGGTGCTCCCCCCTCACCCCCCTTCTTGTCCCCACGCCGGTCGCATTCAGCCCCGGCGTGTCCCAGCGGATGGTCCCGCTGCTCCCGGGCCCTCCCGAAGCCAGCGCCTTTAATTGTCCTCATTTGTTAAGAGCCGTTTTTGTCATGCTAAACAAGGCTGGAGCAGCCGTCCTAACCTCTCCTTTCAAGCCCTTTTCTCCTCGCCCCTTTTGTTTACCTTCCCCCCTGATCTCTCATTTATTTATCTATCCATTCTTCCCCCGCTTTACCCTCCCATTCAAGCCCCCGTGTATGTTAATTGTGTTACGCCGTTTTAATTTCTAACACCGGGTCTCCAAAGAGCACTTAATGAGCAAAAGCACATCCAAACACGCACCGCTCCGGCTATTCAGCTCCTCCGC